CTAAAGTTTCAAATTATTTCTCTCTCTTTTGTACCTCCTAACCAAACTATGTATTAGGATGGACATATATATAAGGATAATTCAAAAATATTGTTAAAAAATCATAGAAACCTCCATTAGAAGAAAATATGAAAATGTAAAGTTATTCTTTTTAAAATCATTTTATTGGCATATGCTGCACATAACATACAATTTAATCATTCAGTCAAATTAAGAAGACTTGTGCACTCGTCACCGAAATCAAGTTCAGAACATTTTCTTTTCATCCTCATTGCTGTTAACTCCACATGTCTCCCCATCTTTCCCTGTCATGCCCCCAGGTAATAATTAACTCAGCTACTGACTCTGTAGATTTACCTATCCTGGTTTTCATAGACAGAAAACTATACAAAACACAAACATGAAGCAAAAAAATAAATAAACAAACAAAACAGAAAAACCTCAATCAAAAAGAAAGCAGAAAATATTAAAAACAGAAACAGCTTAATGTGTCAAAAGGGGAGATCTAATGATAAGGCTAACCGAACCAGGCTGCCATCATCGACTTGACACGGTTCTCGGTCTTCATGAGGCTGTTCACATCTCTGGACTCATCAGAGCGAGCTCACCAGAAACTGCATCCATGCGGGGACCCTACAAATGGATTTAGGACTTCCACTGTTCTCCATAGCCCTCTACAAGCTGGGTCTTCACAATTTAAGCTCTGATGATACTATTCCCTCCTTTGGATTTGGGTTGTATCACTTACAATCCGTGATTCACACAAGCTGGTGTGCTTCTTCCTGTGGACTTAGTGGATGACTCACTTAGATGGCTGCTTGCTTTAAGAGAAGTCTTTAAGACCCCAGGCACTGTTCTTTCTGATAGCCAGGCACCATCTGGTTTCTTCACCACACTTTGGTATAACAACCCTATTTTCAGAGAGCTTTTCATAAGGGTGAGCATCAATGAGGGCCATATCAAAAGAATGGGTTGTTCTTAGCTGTGGGCTAGAATCAAGTGCGAGTCCAAAATGCATTCAGTGGGATGTCGCTCCATCTTCTCTAATTCAGGGTAGTTGCATCTTCTCTTGCTTGTGTCAGTGGCCAGCATTGATGTCCTGGCTGTCACTTGTTGTGTTTGTGTTTGGTTTCGTTTCCCCTTTGTTGTTACTGTTCTTTCGTTATGTTGGTGTCTTTGTTATTCCTTGCTTTCTGTGTTGTTTTGGGTGCTCCTCTGGTCATATTGGTTTCCGGGTGGTGCTGTGCTGTACGATGTTCTAGGTTTGTCTTCTGCGGTGAGAGAAAGATGAGCCTTTCTACTCCTGCAGAGTGCCCATCTACCCTGCCCTCTAGGGTTCCTGAGTTGGGAGTTTGGGGAATGAGACTAAGAGAAGAAAGAATTCATCTGCAGCCATCCACCAAACACCGAGAGGTTGAAATGCGTTTGTTTGGAATAAACTGTTCATGTTCACACCGGAACCTATTAGCAATGTTTTTAGTTACTCGTGTATTTCATTTGATTTTCTACTAAAGTCATTGAGACTGGAAAATGTTACGTAAGTTGTTCAGATTGGCTTATCATTGACACAGTGGGAACCAGAATCTTAAGTTTTCTTACTACTTTCTTATACTAGTTATTTATTAATCCAGAAAATATTGAGAAAGCATCTACTTTGTATCTGGTTTGGGGCTATTTGCCAATGAGCAAAGATGGTTTGGCTTGCCAGTATGAATGAAAACTTACAGATTTTAACTCATCATGGATGCTTTTATGCTACAAGAAAACTCTTAAGTCCTCATAGCTAATCAAGTTGATAAGGTTTACCAGAAGATTTGTTTAAGTCTGTGACACCTGTATTCCAGGCACCAAAGCCACTACTTTTCTGGGACTGTGCTGAAATGTTTGAAAAAATAGTGTGAGCCACGTTCCTTTTGATATTTTCAAGAGGCATAGGACTGTGGTATAGGATAGTTGAATCTAGTCTTTCCAAGAGTCTCTTATTCATTTGCTCTGAAAAATTAACACATATGCTAACCAAGTCTGGTGACTTCTAATCTTGCGAAGACGAGTGACAGGGCAGCAGTGTAATCATTGTTTGGGTGGCAGTGGTGGTGGTGTTTCCTGTAGACATTGCAAAAGTAGGTAAATCCATTCAAATAAAGATAAACCAATGTGTTACTCTAATCCCGGGGCAGTTGATTAAGTGTGGATGACAGCTTTAGTGATATGTGTGTTGTTCTTATTATTCTTGTTGTCAGATGCCCTGAGTCAATTATGACTCATAAGCACCTTTTGTGCAACAAAACATGGCACTGTCACGTCCTGCTCCATTCTAATAATTGTTTTGTTTGAACCCATTGTTACAGCCACTGGGTAGATCCTTCACGTCAAGGACCGTCTGTTTCATTTTCGCTCCTCTTTACTGAGCATGATGCCTCTCTTCAGGGACTGGTCTGTCCTGATAATATGTTCAAAGGATGTGAGATAAAGTCTTGACATCCTGGCATCTGAGGAGCATCCAGGCTTTATTTCCAAGACAGATATGTGTATTCTTCTGGCAGTCCATGGTACTTTCAATATTCTGCACAAATATCATAATTCAAATAAACCAATTCTGTGGTCTCCCTTATTCATTGTCCAACTTGTTGATACAGATGGAGATAAAGATTTAGATATATCCTGACGTATGCCCTTTATCTAAAGTTACTTTCTGTATATTATCACATTTATTAAGTAGTATAAATAGGTTTATATGCATCTCTAGATCATGAATTAGTCTTGAAATCCATTTGAGACACAGCTTATATTAGATTTACTTTGAATCATAACAACCATGCCCCAGTATTATAGAGGAGCAGACTCTGAGAAGGATGACTTGTCGCATAGCTTGAGCCTGAAGAACCCAGATGGGGGTGGGGTGGAGGTGAGGAAGCATCAAGGAACCAGAGGAATATTGTGGGTTTTATTGATGCTATACTACGCCCTGGTTGACTCATTACTTCCTTGTGACCTTTCTATGAGGGGATGTCCCATGGTCTAAATATAGGTTTTGGGTCTCTGCTTTGACACCCCCCCTTATTCTCAACAATATGGGTTTTGTTTGTTTGTTTTGGATCTTCTGATGCTTATTTCCAGATCCCATCAATGCCTCATAATCACACAGGCTGGTGTGCTGCTTCCATTTGGGCTTGTTGCTTCCCTGCTAGATGGCCATTTCTTTAACTTCACGCCTTTAAGACCCCAGACACCATATCTTTTGATAGCCGGGCACTATCAACTTTGTTCACATTTGCTTGTGCACCCTTTTTATCTTCAGCGATTGTGCCAGAAGGGTGAGCATCACAGAATGCCAGGTTGTTTGGACAAAGTGTTCTTGCATTGAGTCAGGGTTTGAGCAGAGGCCCAAAGTCTATCCACTACCTCAGTGTACTGCCATATAAATATATGTACATAGCTCAATGCCTCTATTTTTATGAATTAGTGTATTGACATATGTACACACCTATGTTTATACCTCTATCCATAGCTTTGCTTCCTAGATCTTTCCTCTGTTTCCTTTTACCTTCCTCCTGCCCCACCATCATGTTCGCCCTTCTTCTGCCTCTTAGTAATTCCTCTCAGCTAGATTGCTGTTGCTCCATCACCCTCAGGATCTCCTCCTTGTTGATTTTCATTCCCTAGTTGTTCCCCTGTGTATGGCATTGTTGTTTGCTCACGGCTCCCTTCCCCCGCCTCCTCCTCCCCCCAGATCGCTCCAGAACTGTCAGTCCCGTAGCTTTCGCCTCAAGCTTGCTTCCCATGCCTGTCTTATATAGGTAGGCAAAACCCAACAATAACAGAAACCAAACAAAAAGAAAACAAAAGATAGAATAAAAAAGAAAAAAAAACAAAAAAGCATACATAATTCCAGGTCTGTCTACTGACCTTTATTACTATCTCCCTACTGGTCCTGGGGGAATTCCTGGAACTGCCCCTCCTAGCCTGAAGTCTATTTTGAGGGTTCCTCAAGGGCTTTGTGGCTTGACTTTGCTCTGGTTGCTGATCTGTTATGTTCCCTTCTTGGTTCGCCCCACTGGGGAGGTTCAGACTGGACTTACTCCCGCCATGAGTCGCTCACTTAAGGAGGTGTGACCATCAGGGTGACGACGCCATCTGAACAGTATCTTTCTATTCCAGTCTCCGTGCAGCTCCATCCTCCAAGTTTTGCAAGAGCAAGACTCAAACCTAGTATCAAGTATCCTTTAGGTTTTAAAATGAGTGGTTTGTATTGATTTCCTCTATGACTGGAAGGCTGAGTAGCCAAAGAAATTTGATTTCTGATAAACCACTGATTGTGGCAGAATGCCTTTCTCGTGGTCCAAGAGGAAATAATGTTTCTGGAACAATGCTTTTTTCAGTCTTGCAGTCCCAGTTTCAGTAGTCAATGGAGCAAGTGGGAAGGTGTTTTAAATATTACAAAACTAAAGGCCAATATTCCTGAAAACTCTTATCATCCTCATGAAGGCACCTTGATAAGTAAATCATTGAAAATGTTCAATGAGTCAAAATCTACTGATGGTGACAACCATAGCAGTAAGTTGCATTGTAAAGTGACAGCATTCAAGATGTTTCAGAAATTGACAGGTGTTTACAAACTGTAACACAAGAATAAGTATGTTTAGTATGTAAAGGAGATGAAATATAGAGCTTACTTGGCTGTTTGAGGACCAGTGTGTAGAAGGAAATGTAGCTGGAGACATATATGTGTAGCAGCATTGGCATTGCCCAATGGTGGATAAGTCTGCCTTGTGACATAGGCATGCTCAGTAGGCCCAAACCACTGCTGAGATGCCCCTGTGCATGAGACACTTGTGTTTCACAGGAGATTAGGAGCCATTTCAATTCTGTCTTGGTTAAATCCTAACTTTCCAAATTAAGAGTCTGGAAAAGTCAAAGAAAATTATGCCTACCCAACATATTATTACGTTTATCAGCTATATTGATAGTCCAGCTTGTAACTGAAAATTCTTCTCGTTCAGGAGCACAGTACCATGCAGAAGTTACACTGCACACAAGTTGACAAAATTGTGGCACAGTATGACAAAGAGAAGTCGACGCATGAGAAAATTCTGGAGAAGGCAATGAAGAAGAAGGGGTAAATACTGTGTGTTTCTTTCTGAAGGGCTTTCCCTCTGTTGGGAGCAGTGTGTTAGTTTTGTCTTTACTACAACTCAGTGGCCTATTTGGGTCAAGGGGAGACAGTCTTGACTCTGTTTTCATCCTTAAAACTTATTTCTAGAAAATAAGAGACCCATTCGATTTAAACACTCTTAACGTTATGACATTAAAACATCAGTCAAGTTATCAATGCTTTAGGCAAGGTTCTCAGCAAATTTTCTTGCGACTTTTGAATTCATTGTAATTACTCAGTAAGAGAGTAAATAGTTGTTTATATCTTCCGAAAAATGCCCATCAGGCACGTCCTATGAAGCATCTGTCATTAAGTTCAATGTAGCGTGTGTTTTCACTGTGCGTGACTAAGGCAGAGACACATGCCTGTGGCTTTGTGAACATTTCCACAGGGACTTTACAGCTGTGAGTGGAGTGTCCATGGCATGGTCGGTGGTGAATGCCCTGAGTTTCCAGGAGCTGTGACCCTTCTAACTTCCTGGATGGCAGGATGGTTTGCAGTTGCCGACTAACCTAAACATAGAACATTTGAACCCACCCATCAGAGTCACAGGCCAGAGACCAGGCAGTGCACTTCCATGAAGAAAATAGTCAGAAAGCCCAGTGGATTGGATCTTCTCTGTAGCACACAGAGTTGCCGTGAGTTGTAATCCACCCAATGGCTTTGACTCGGCTAGTCTTCTGATTACATCAGAAGCTGTGGCAATTTTTTAAATAAATTACCTTTTTTATATATTCAATGACATTTTATACCAAAATGCTAGAAGGGGTCATCACAGACCCAAACACCATGTTAAAAAAAAAAAAACTTTTAACAAAATATGGTGCTTTCCAAGAAGCATACAATTAATTATATTCATAAGGTATCTGTTCAAAATATGTCACAGAAGATTTTTTTAGGAGACAGAAGAGTTTTTATTTCAATCACAAGATTTTTTTTTAGGAGATTTCGGACTTGGGCACCATTGAAACCTTTTTTTGACAGAAAGTGACAATGATATTATGTATTTGTTTATTTAAATCAGTAAATCATGATGAAGGCAATGGAGACACAGCGATTCAGGGAGCAGAGATAAACACCATTACAAGATACGAAAAGAACCATGCGCCCTGCCCAATTAAAGATTAGATAAAATGTACATCTAATGAGGTAAAATTAGATAAAATGAGGTAAAGACCTCGTTATTGTGTTCTCTCTCAATGGTAGGCTATCAAAGTGGCACTCTTAATTAGAAGTTGCTGTGAGTGGGATATTTAGATGGCCCCCTGATCTGGGTATTGAGTGATCTTGGAGGACTGAACAAAGTTTAAATGGAGGTGTGCTTGAAAAATCTCAGTTCATACTTTTCTTCCTCAGCCTCTACTGTTAAACTCAGCAAAGATTTATGTTGTTGCCTTGAGGCTTTCTAGAGAAATTTTCTAAATGCTTTAAACAATAAACATCCTAACAAAACACTAAAAGTGTTCATGGTAAAGTATCTCAATGTCAGACCTCAAATCCTTCCTTTGGAGGCTTTTTTTAATATTCGTGTGGATTGTACTATAGAGGTTGCTTGCACTTTGTTATTGCTATCGATTTGCTAAAGGTCTGTGAAAGGGATGTTGGTGACAGTCCTTGAAGATTTCCTAAGCAGACCAGAGTCCAAAACAAAGAAAAGGTTTCCTCTTCATTCTTTTCTGCTTCTCCACACCCGAGGGAGATTGCAATGGTGAAGAATACAGTGAACCCTCGTTTATCGCGGTTAATCGGTTCTAGACCCTACCGTGATAAATGAAATTCCGCGAAGTAGGATTCCTTATTTGTAAATCAAATATTTTCGTAGTTAGAGCATAGAGGACATGAAAAAACACCCTTTAGTCACCATTACACTCGTATTACCCAATAATTTAAACGAAAAAGGGAAAATACAGTAAAACATTTTGGACGTTACAATTATCATTTATTATTTATTATATTATTTATGTCATCTAGTTTACAGTATTACATATTTCACATACAGTATTATTATACATAGTTCTTACAAATACTGTAATTTTCTTGCCATCTTTGATCATATCCAAAAGTTTTACCTTTTCCTGGATGGTGAGCATCTTCCTCCGGCGCTTATTTTTATTGTCAGAAGGCTTAGAAGAAGCAGCTCGTTTAGGAGCCATCATAGGGCTTAGATAAAATTTCTTAAAAATCGCAAACAATTACAGTACACTGTACAAAAGCAAAAATGCATCTGATACGTAGCTCCGATACGTAGCGATGCAGACAGAAGCGTGTACAGTATGAGCCAATCAGTGGCAGTAATGACAGAGCATGCGCTGTTACGCAAAAACCTGCGATAGAGTGAAGCCGCGGAAGTCGAAGCGCGAAGTGGCGAGGGTTCACTGTACTGTATTCTTCAGCTGCATTCCTGTATGCTACCGCCGTTGGTTAATAAGTAAAAGAGCGCTTCAAAATATTCATGCAAAAAAATCCCATTATCTTTTAATTCCATTTTTTCTTGGGTTTTCCCACAAAATGAAAGCCTCCAGAAATTGATGGATTCCCAGTTTTAATGTTTTAACATGACACTTCAGAACTTGAATCAGTCACATGACAAGGAATTTTGAAGACAGCTACCTGGCCAACCAATCAGAAGAGATTCATATTTGTGCCCATTCCAAAGAAAGATAACCCAATAATATCACTGATATCATGCACACACAAATTTTCACTAAAAGTAAATTCCAAAGTGTTTACACCAGTACTTCAACAGGAAGCTGCCTGAATGTCAAGCCAGATTTAGAAGAGAAGTGGAATGAGGGAGCTCGTTGCTGATATCCGCTGGATCTTATCCGAAAGCAGAGAATACCAGACAGATATTTCCTTGTATTTCATTGACTCTGCAGAGGCACTCAACGGTGCCAATGGTAGCAAACTACAGATCCCATTGTGAAGCAGGGCCAGTCCAGAATGCTTCATTGTTCGTTCTCAGGTGGAATCTGTACGCAGATCACAAGAGGCAGCCATTGGAACAGAACAAGGTATAAAATCAGGAAAGGTGTGGATCAGGGTGGTATTCTTTCACCACAATTATTCAGTATGTGTATTGAGCAAATCTTCTAAGAAGCTGGGCTATGTGAAGAATATGGCTTCAGGATTGGAGGAAGGCTGAATAACAACGTGTCATATCCAGATGATACAACTCTACTTGCCAGAAGCCAAGAGGACTTGACACATTTATTGATGGATACCAAGAACTGCACCTTCATTATGGAACTCAGTGTACAGAAGAAGAAGGAAAACTCCCCACAGATGAATGAATAAACAACATCGTAGTAAACAGATTGACATTTTCAAAGATTTTATTTTACTTGGATACTGAATCAGTGCTCATGGAAGCATCAGTGAAGACATCAAATGCTGATTGCATTGGCAAACTTACCTTGCAGGAGGTACAGCCAGAATGATCCTTACAAGCAAGGATGCTGTGAGTTCATCTCATATGGTGGGCACGTTATCCAGAGTGACGAGTCTCTAGAGAAGGATATCATGCTTGGTAAAGTAGAGGGCCAGAGAAAATGAGGAAGAGTCTGAGCAAGACGGATTGACACAGCGGGCTCAAGCATAACGATCCTTGTGGGGAGGGTGCGGGACCAGGCAGCATGTCACTCTGTTGTGCCAAGAATCTCTGTCAGGCCCAACTCGATGGCTCCTAACGGCACCAACATGCTTTTGGAGGCTCCCTCAGATTTCTCATGCTGGGTTCTCCCCTCGGGTTTGTTTGTTTTTTGTGTTGTTTTTTTAAGTTATGGGAGGACAGGGGAAGGACATGGCACAAACCAAAGCTGAGTAAATTAAAAATACAACAATCACTTTCTATAGCCAGAACAAAATTAAGTTCATGCACTAGATTGGGGGGGGACACGACCTTGATTCTTAATAATTCAGGAATCCTTCACTTTGTCCAACAGATAAAGCTGTTGACTAATGTGTAACCTTGCATTTTCTGTGAAAGATTTTGGTGCGAATTAAGCCAGCAGATTGTCAGCAATGCTACCTGTTCAGTTACTAGCAGACTAAAGCGAACACATCATCAGTGCCCTCCATTGAAAAGTAATAGATTTGATGAGAGGCCCAGCATCATTGCAATAAATGGAATTGTTGTCTCAGAAACTCTCAATACTGAAGTGAATCATTCGGCTGAGGCTATCACAAATCAGGGCATACAATTGAATACTGAAGCTTAGGACCTGTTCCGTTTTCAGCAATGGCCTGGGTGTTGCCAAAGGGGTGGGGGCGGGGAACTAAGCAGTCATGCTTGCTGGGCAGTTTTCTAGTATGTATTTCCTACTCACAAAAGAAGAGAAGGCCAAACGCACTTTTGAATGCCAAGAAATTCTATTTTCTCCCTCGCTGGCATGTTTAAAAGACAAAATCTGGCAATATAACCAAAACAGGAGAATTAAGAAGTCCCTTTGAAGCTGGGGACCTATTTTCTAGTTTTGTTTTGTTTTGTTTTTAATCTCAAATAATGATTGGTTGAATCAGTGAAAAATAGCTTAAAGAAAAAGAGGAACCAAGAATGGAAACTCTTAACAAGAAACCCCTAACAATGAAATAATTGCTAAGTCTGAAGTGCCTCTTTGTGAAGTGGCTGAATTGAGCAATCAAGACGCAGAGGGTATTTTATAAGGTATGGATCTATTACTAGAAAGTGGATGTTGCCCAGGGAGCTGTGGCCTGCCATGTGTGGTAGACACAGTGTCTTCATGGGAAAGCTTTATCACAGAGGGGCTGTTGGAATGGGGAGGTAGCTAACTTCAGGCATTGTTGTCAATTTTCCATTTGCAGAGGAAGTAATTGTCTTGAAATGAAGAAAGAAACAGAAATTAAAATTCAGACACTGACATCAGATCACAAATCTAAGGTAAGAAAATAACCATTTGTAAGGCAGCTGTTTGTAGAAGACACTTTTTTTTTAAAGACTTGGTACTTAACTATAAATAAAAAATTACACCACCTTGGGGCTGATCTGAGAAGTTAGGGGACCCAGGGGCTCAGATTTTCCCTGGGGATGTGAAAAGAGCCATTCCCAGAAACATCTTTTCCATTGCCTGTAGAAATGGGGTCAAAATATTTATTTTATTGACCTCAGATGGGTCTTACAAGTGTCTAACTTAGTGAGAAGTGAATAGAATAATAAGAAATACTATGTAGTATATAGGATAATCTTCCCTATAAAAAGTAAAACTAAATAAATGGTAGAAACCTACCCAACTTGAGACTTGGAAGACTCTTTCATATTTACTCTATCCTAACATAGTTGTAGAAATTTTAGGATAAGAAAGGAAAAATAAGAGTTGATGTTTTAGGAGACAATCCTAAATTGCTCAGATGCCCCCAAAGACATAGAATTTAGGGGATCTTATTAAGTTTGAGGGAATGTAATAGTTGGGTGCTAAGCTCCAATTTGAAGAAACAACTAGTTCTTCCAATAAAAGCCATTTTTAAAAGAGAAGACGATTCTTTAAAATCCTAACTCAAAAAAAACAACCCAAAAAACCCTAACTCTGTTGGTCAAACCAGCCCTATGTCCATACGCAGTTCCACCAGCCAGTCCAGAGGCCTTGCCACAGACACAGACCAGCTGAGTTCTTAAAGCTCAAGTTCTTGGGGTTTTCTATTTGGAGTCCGTCCTGCCACAAAGTCTAAAGCACAGGCTCATTCACATGGTGGCCTCCAAGTTCCAAGGGCAGCAACAGAGCAAACACTTTCCAAGCATCTGCGTGTGTCACATTTGCTCCTGTCCCCATTGAGTAGAACAGCTCATACAGCAGCCAGATTCCAGGAAAAGATTCCATTTGATGGAAGAGGCTGTGTGACCATATTGCAAAGAACATTGATACAGAGAGGGAGGAGACTGTCTACCCTAATACCAGATAGAGTTGACACCACAAACAAGTCATGATCCAGGAATTAAAGATCTGTGTCCTGGTGAAAGTGAACCTGAATAAGGATGGGATGGGATGGGAAAGACAAATCCGGTTAAATTGGTTGAAGACCCCAAGACCCAGACAGACAAGTGTATGGGCAAGTTATTCAGTGGAATAGCAGACCACTTACACATTTAGAGCCAAAGTGCTTGGTCTATTTCAATTAGCAATAACTTCCTGACTGTTAACGATGAAGAGACATGGTTCTTAGCAGGTCCTAGGCATCAAATCAATTGATGGGTGGGATCTGAAGTGCATGCATGCCAGTGTGCTTTCCTGTCGTCCCTGACCTATGAGAATATCAGGTGGTAGCACCCCCTTTGTCTGAACAGGTCAAAGAGATTGTGGCCCAGCACACCAAAGAGTGGTCCGAAATGATCAACACCCACAGTGCTGAGGAGCAAGAAATCCGAGACCTGCATCTCAGCCAGCAGTGCGAGCTGCTGAAAAAGCTCCTCGTCAGTGCTCATGAGCAGCAAACCCAGCAGCTGAGACTGTCCCATGACAGGTAGGAAAAGGCTCCACCAAACACAGGAGGCCCTGCCCACCAAATCGTAACATTTGGGGTCAGCCCAAGCCACCACCTGTCTTTCCATTGAGCAGAAACACAGTGCACCATCTCCAGAGTAAACTATTGTTTTGTACAAGACTGTGTGTGTGTGTGTGTGTGTGTAAACCAAGGTAATAAGTGACACCAACATATTTGACCAAGATTATTAAGTTTATGTGTTTATACATCATACAGTTGATCTGAGCAAAACAAACCAGAAGAAACGGTTTCTAAAGGCATGTGATAAACATCAAATCCTGCCACAGGCACCAAGGGCATCCAGCCTAAAGGAGTGGTCTTCCCCAGACTGAAACTGGCCGTTTAAAATCACTCTGGACCTTCCTGGGGAGAAAAGCCCCACACGGCGAGAAAGAATGTTTGTGGAGGCCCTAGAAAGACTCAGATCTAATTATTCAAT